ACCGCCATAGTGACAGTATTGGGCAGCGCCACTCATCCTGTGAGTGGACACACCGCCATAGTGACAGTATTGGGCAGCGCCACTCATCCTGTGAGTGGACACACCGCCATAGTGACAGTATTGGGCAGCGCCACTCATCCTGTGAGTGGACACACCGCCATAGTGACAGTATTGGGCAGCGCCACTCATCCTGTGAGTGGACACACCGCCATAGTGACAGTATTGGGCAGCGCCACTCATCCTGTGAGTGGACACACCGCCATAGTGACAGTATTGGGCAGCGCCACTCATCCTGTGAGTGGACACACCGCCATAGTGACAGTATTGGGCAGCGCCACTCATCCTGTGAGTGAACACACCGCCATAGTGACAGTATTGGGCAGCGCCACTCATCCTGTGAGTGGACACACCGCCATAGTGACAGTATTGGGCAGCGCCACTCATCCTGTGAGTGGACACACCGCCATAGTGACAGTATTGGGCAGCGCCACTCATCCTGTGAGTGGACACACCGCCATAGTGACAGTATTGGGCAGCGCCACTCATCCTGTGAGTGGACACACCGCCATAGTGACAGTATTGGGCAGCGCCACTCATCCTGTGAGTGGACATACCGCCATAGTGACAGTATTGGGCAGCGCCACTCATCCTGTGAGTGGACACACCGCCATAGTGACAGTATTGGGCAGCGCCACTCATCCTGTGAGTGGACACACCGCCATAGTGACAGTATTGGGCAGCGCCACTCATCCTGTGAGTGGACACACCGCCATAGTGACAGTATTGGGCAGCGCCACTCATCCTGTGAGTGGACACACCGCCATAGTGACAGTATTGGGCAGCGTCACTCATCCTGTGAGTGGACACACCGCCATAGTGACAGTATTGGGCAGCGCCACTCATCCTGTGAGTGGACACACCGCCATAGTGACAGTATTGGGCAGCGCCACTCATCCTGTGAGTGGACACACCGCCATAGTGACAGTATTGGGCAGCGTCACTCATCCTGTGAGTGGACACACCGCCATAGTGACAGTATTGGGCAGCGCCACTCATCCTGTGAGTGGACACACCGCCATAGTGACAGTATTGGGCAGCGTCACTCATCCTGTGAGTGGACACACCGCCATAGTGACAGTATTGGGCAGCACCACTCATCCTGTGAGTGGACACACCGCCATAGTGACAGTATTGGGCAGCACCACTCATCCTGTGAGTGGACACACCGCCATAGTGACAGTATTGGGCAGCGCCACTCATCCTGTGAGTGGACACACCGCCATAGTGACAGTATTGGGCAGCGCCACTCATCCTGTGAGTGGACACACCGCCATAGTGACAGTATTGGGCAGCGTCACTCATCCTGTGAGTGGACACACCGCCATAGTGACAGTATTGGGCAGCGTCACTCATCCTGTGAGTGGACACACCGCCATAGTGACAGTATTGGGCAGCGTCACTCATCCTGTGAGTGGACACACCGCCATAGTGACAGTATTGGGCAGCGCCACTCATCCTGTGAGTGGACACACCGCCATAGTGACAGTATTGGGCAGCGTCACTCATCCTGTGAGTGGACACACCGCCATAGTGACAGTATTGGGCAGCGTCACTCATCCTGTGAGTGGACACACCGCCATAGTGACAGTATTGGGCAGCGTCACTCATCCTGTGAGTGGACACACCACCATAGTGACAGTATTGGGCAGCGTCACTCATCCTGTGAGTGGACACACCGCCATAGTGACAGTATTGGGCAGCGTCACTCATCCTGTGAGTGGACACACCGCCATAGTGACAGTATTGGGCAGCGTCACTCATCCTGTGAGTGGACACACCGCCATAGTGACAGTATTGGGCAGCGTCACTCATCCTGTGAGTGGACACACCGCCATAGTGACAGTATTGGGCAGCACCACTCATCCTGTGAGTGGACACACCGCCATAGTGACAGTATTGGGCAGCGTCACTCATCCTGTGAGTGGACACACCGCCATAGTGACAGTATTGGGCAGCGTCACTCATCCTATGAGTGGACACACCGCCATAGTGACAGTATTGGGCAGCGTCACTCATCCTATGAGTGGACACACCGCCATAGTGACAGTATTGGGCAGCGCCACTCATCCTGTGAGTGGACACACCGCCATAGTGACAGTATTGGGCAGCGCCACTCATCCTGTGAGTGGACACACCGCCATAGTGACAGTATTGGGCAGCGCCACTCATCCTGTGAGTGGACACACACAGTTATATGCCAGAAAAGAACTTAGGAAACATTATAATAATGGTTCACTTAAGAGTACTGGATCAACCGCATGACCCAGACGGGTAAACGGTGATGGAATATTTAACATTACCGTAATATCCGGAGTGGTGTCGCCTGTGTCTTCACTCTCCATGTGAGCACTGAGTCCCGCCTCGAGGACCACCAGCGTGTGTGAAGAGTCCAGAGTACAAGACACTCTAAGCTGAAGAAGCAACAACGTCCTGCCTAAAACGTGGCCTGCCGGCTACTGCAGGCTTGCCAGATCCAAATTGCTAAAAGTAGCGAGCTGACGGTCAAAAAGTAGCGAATTTGCAAGTAGAGTAGCCCAATTTTTTGTTTAGTCAAATCGAATCAAATCAAATGTTTATTCGGGTAAAAGTACATACATACAAGATGAGTTACAAACATAATGTTAGATTTCTAGATAGCGACAGTACATACAGACAGACGATATTCAAATTTAGTAAGTTTATCTTCCTTCTTCGATAGAACAGACTGCTGATGACTTACCTCCGATATATTTTGTTTGTGTTTTAATGTTTCACTGTGTTTCTTTAAACCACTTCTATGAGCTCTTATCTCAGTTCTACAAACTTTACAATATGCCTTATTTCCATCTTCTTTCACTTCAGCCAACCATTTTTCAAACACGGGATCCTTAAGCCAGGACATCTTTTTTTGAGATATATACAAGAGTTGTTACATTCTTGTACAGCCACTAGTACGCATCGCATAGCGTTTCGGGCAAGTCCTTAATCCTATGGTCCCTGGAATACGATCCCCGCCGCGAAGAATCGTTGTTACATCCAAGTACACATTTTACTGTTGAGTTAAACAGAGGCTACAGTTAAGGAATTGCGCCCAGTAAATCCTCCCCGGCAAGGATACGAACCCATGACATAGCGCTCGCGGAACGCCAGGCGAGTGTCTTACCACTACACCACGGAGACTGCTAAACGGTGATGTAGCCCAATCTAAAACGCTTTCTGGTATTTAGACCACTTCCCCATTTTACACTTCTTTATCTTAACACTTAAGCAAATTCTAAAAGTAACTTCTTTTCTATATGCGGTAACTTGTGTCGAACTATCCTTCTGGAGGCCAGAGCCACACTAACAATGAAAGCACAGATGAAGCTGCCAAGACACTGTATGCTAATCCGCTCTAACGACAGTCATTTGATTCTTCGAAACACTTTTTAAGAGAAACCCAATATTTACAGTAGGCAACAGTGGGAGGTCACTTAATTAACAGACAGTACCCGTGATGAAGTATTAATGACAATTAAGGTTGGGAAATCTATAGCCCCTGGGGAGGATTATCTCGCCTTGCGGTTACTTTTTCTTTGGGAAGTTCCTAGGATCAACGTCCCCAGGGGGTCGGTCTCTGATTTGGCCTCCTGCGATAAATGGTCTATTCAATCAAGCTGTTGGACGCGGCTGTGATTTGTACACATGGCATTATAAAAAGCATCATTGAGTTTCTTAACATTAATAGCCCAACTTGTTTTTAAAATAGTCCAAAAAGTTGCAAGTAGCGAAATTAAAATTTGGGAGCGCGGGGCTCTGAAAAGTAGCACAATTCGCTACTTGTAGCCCAATCTGGCATCCCTGGGCTACTGCTTCCCGAACTCACTATTAACCTGCTTTAACTATGCTCTTATTTAACTCGTATTTACCTCAGGTCTCTCAACACGCATTAGGAATATATATATATATATATATATATATATATATATATATATATATATATATATATATATATATATATATATATATATAATATATATATAACAATTAATGGTTCTTGACTATAAGGCTGCTCACTAGGCCTACACATGCCTGAGAGGCCTACAGTACTTTCACTCTCCCAATTATATATGAACTGCCATTTACCGATAAAGTTTTGGACTGATTGAAAATGCATCTTAGAAACAGATAAATTATACGAAAGACTGAATGATCAGTCTAATGGAATGTAATGCTCTTTAAAACCAACGACCACTAATGTGGAAAACACTGGTATAAAATGTAAATAACGTGAATGTACAATTCAAACCTACATAGAGCTAGGCTATGAATATACCATAATATCGCTGGTGTTATATGTTATTAATATCTGCCGCTTCCAGTAGATATATGACTGTACTTGATCAATGGAGCTGTTAGTGTACTTAGAAGGTACAGAAGTAGTTTATTATATAACAAGCTCTAAAAGTCATTGACAATTCATAATTTCTTTTTGATGGCTAGGCTAGTGACCGTTACTGTTGTGTGAATACTTAATGAAGGTCACTTTTAGTCCTATTTAACGTGGGAAGTGAATATACTTCAGCTTATGAGGACCTGCTTACAAAAGGTGATAATTTGATGGTCTGAGAACAGTTAGATTTAAATTCAATCTTTCATAGCCTAGAAGAGTGAAATATTTTCAAAATCAAGAGAATACTTTTTAATTTTTCCTATTACCTTTACAATTCGTTATAAAGGGAAAAGGAATATATAAGGAGAGAAAAATGCATTTGAAAAAGAATTATTCATATACAAAAATTAGGATTGATTAGGTGCACACTCCTGGTCTATGGTAGTTCAGAGTAGTTTTGGTCGTATTATTGAACAGACAATCACTGGAGCTTAATTAGGTTGTTCAGCGTTGACCTGACCTCGTTGTGACCTAAACCCGATGTCAGGTGAAGATATATTTCTTTCTTTAGGAAGTCCTTAGAGTTTGTGTCATAGGCTGTTTGTGCCTTATTCTTAACTTATTCTCCTGATCATGTGAACAGGTTTGGGTTCAGAACTATAGCATGACAAACCGTCCGAAGATCACTAAACATATACAAGTCAGTCTGCATCTGTTGTTTAGGGAAAAAGAAACTCTCTGCATTACTTCTGGCCACACTACAAAATGAAATCCTTGTCAACTGTCATCAAACACTCTGGGGTCACATTGATCATGAAATATTGCAGTAGATGGATTGCAAAGTAACCAGGACCAAAATACACTCTTCAATATACATTGAAGCAAGGCCAGAGTAGTAACAGAACTCTAAAATTCATCAACAGGTAAAAACAGGTAACAGTACTGCCATACACTCTTAAACCAGTTGACTGATAAACGAATAGCAGGAAAAACCAAACAAAATACAACAGGATGCATTTATTTAGTCCTTGTAAGGCCGTAAAAAAGCCTCTCGCACATAAATACTTCATACAGCCTAAAGTTTTCTTTCCACAAATACAAAAGAGTCATCCTCGATAGTTCACAGTCGCTCGCGTCTACAACCACTCCATAAACCTACAATGTTAATCTTCCATCAGGAATACATTCTTGTAGAGCTGCCACACTTGCAGTAGCTGCTCATGAAGGGACCATAATGATTTACATACAATGATGGGACGCCACATTCGTAACTCGGAGTTACGGGTTCCATCACAACGGGTTCCATCACAACGGGTTCCATCACAATGGGTTCCATCACAACGGGTTCCATCACAACGGGTTCCATCACAATGGGTTCCACAACGGGTTCATCACAATGGGTTCCATCACAATGGGTTCCATCACAACGGGTTCCATCACAACGGGTTCCATCACAATGGGTTCCATCACAAATGAGGTTCCATCACAATGGGTTCCATCACAATGGGTTCCATCACAATGGGTTCCATCACAACGGGTTCCATCACAATGGGTTCCATCACAATGGGTTCCATCACAATGGGTTCCATCACAATGGGTTCCATCACAATGGGTTCCATCACAACGGTTCCATCACAATGGGTTCCATCACAATGGGTTCCATCACAATGGGTTCCATCACAACGGGTTCCATCACAACGGGTTCCATCACAACGGGTTCCATCACATCCATCACAACGGGTTCCATCACAATGGGTTCCATCACAATGGGTTCCATCACAACGGGTTCCATCACAATGGGTTCCATCACAACGGGTTCCATCACAATGGGTTCCATCACAACGGGTTCCATCACAATGGGTTCCATCACAACGGGTTCCATCACAATGGGTTCCATCACAATGGGTTCCATCACAACGGGTTCCATCACAATGGGTTCCATCACAACGGGTTCCATCACAATGGGTTCCATCACAATGGGTTCCATCACAACGGGTTCCATCACAATGGGTTCCATCACAAACGGGTTCCATCACAATGGGTTCCATCACAACGGGTTCCATCACAATGGGTTCCATCACAACGGGTTCCATCACAATGGGTTCCATCACAATGGGTTCCATCACAATGGGTTCCATCACAACGGGTTCCATCACAACGGGTTCCATCACAACGGGTTCCATCACAACGGGTTCCATCACAACGGGTTCCATCACAATGGGTTCCAACGGGTTTCTTTAGTGAGGTGGTTTAGGAGAAGAGTGAGTTGGTTTAGGAGAGGAGTGAGGTGGTTTAGGTGAGGAGTGAGGTGGTTTAGGTGAGGAGTGAGGTGGTTTAGGTGAGGAGTGAGGTGGTTTAGGAGAGGAGTGAGGTGGTTTAGGTGAGGAGTGAGGTGGTTTAGGAGAAGAGTGAGTTGGTTTAGGAGAGGAGTGAGGTGGTTTAGGTGAGGAGTGAGGTGGTTTAGGTGAGGAGTGAGGTGGTTTAGGTGAGGAGTGAGGTGGTTTAGGTGAGGAGTGAGGTGGTTTAGGTGAGGAGTGAGGTGGTTTAGGAGAGGAGTGAGGTGGTTTAGGTGAGGAGTGAGGTGGTTTAGGTGAGGAGTGAGGTGGTTTAGGTGAGGAGTGAGGTGGTTTAGGTGAGGAGTGAGGTGGTTTAGGTGAGGAGTGAGGTGGTTTAGGTGAGGAGTGAGGTGGTTTAGGTGAGGAGTGAGGTGGTTTAGGTGAGGAGTGAGGTGGTTTAGGTGAGGAGTGAGGAGGAGGTGGTTTAGGTGAGGAGTGAGGTGGTTTAGGTGAGGAGTGAGGTGGTTTAGGTGAGGAGTGAGGTGGTTTAGGTGAGGAGTGAGGTGGTTTAGGTGAGGAGTGAGGTGGTTTAGGTGAGGAGTGAGGTGGTTTAGGTGAGGAGTGAGGTGGTTTAGGTGAGGAGTGAGGTGGTTTAGGTGAGGAGTGAGGTGCTTTAGGTGAGGAGTGAGGTGGTTTAGGTGAGGAGTGAGGTGGTTTAGGTGAGGAGTGAGGTGGTTTAGGTGAGGAGTGAGGTGGTTTAGGTGAGGAGTGAGGTGGTTTAGGTGAGGAGTGAGGTGGTTTAGGTGAGGAGTG